ACACATCATTGAAAAATGCAAAACAACTAGGCTGTGGTCGAAAATCAACCTACAAAATCAACACATCAACCTTTATACAAGGAAATAACACTGCTTTTTAAACCTCCGCTTTATTATTTTGAGAAGTTTGTCTTTTGCATCATCAGATGGGAACAAAACAGTGATATCACCTTGTTAAATAGCAGCATCAAAATTTAAACATCAATCCACTTAATAAGTTAAAAACATCTGATTTAATTGGCGATTGCACTAAACATTTTGTATATAGTATATTCTGAGCAGTAGCCATGTTGAATGAACATTTAGAAGTAGTGAATTCAGAGTTTGTTGGGTTGTTTATGATTATACTTTGCCTGGTAACTTCTAACCAAACGTTTCTGCTCGCTCCTTTTGCACAATTCAAAAAGGTAAGGCTTGTGCCAAGGCCACAGTCAAAGCTTTGTGGAAAAGAGGGGGCTGGGGTGGGGTTAAATTGCACTTTTAAGCCTCAAGCTTTCACATTGTATTTGCTACATTCTGATCAGAACCGTACCAGAGGCATCTACCGTCAAAAGTTCAACTATGTACAGTATATATGGCTCTCTGGACACCATGTTTCCTCTGCAAACGTGCCAGCCCTTGGGCGTCCCAATTGCATCGGATGTCCAATCAAAAAGAGGCTTTGTCCAACTGAACCATTCGACCTGAATACGTGTATTTTTGGCTGCTGGTATGTAATCATTCCAGTAACCCAGTCAGTCATAAATTAAATTGTCCCTACAAGGCATCAGAACATCCAGTCGTTATGGCATTCCAACTGTCAAAAGGGTAAAGTAAACAATGGCTGAAACAAAATTAGAATAATTAGGTATATACTGTGGTAATAGTGCAGTTCTAGAAGGGCATTCACATGTAAACCAAAAGGATCTATGCATTAAAAACAGACTGTTCTCAAGCTACCTTCAAACAAAATTCAATGTAGAAATGCTTTGTTTCAAAGAAGAAAAAATATATATTTACAGTAAGAAAAAAATCCATGTTCAAGGCACTACATTCTTGCAAATATTTTTAATGTAAATACTGTCCCATTACTGAATCTTAATCTTAAGCCACTTGTGTTTGGATTCCAATGTAGTGTTTTAAAGTAAACAAAAAGGTAAAAACAGAGGGAAATTGGTTTCTGACTGCAAATAAAAAATGTATTTTGTGGCTGAGTTAATTGGGAACCACTTAAAAAAGCATAAGCCAAAAAGCAAAATGTATTCAGATATTACCAACATGTACTGTTTGGTTTACATACATACACACCATTTACAACAGATATACGTGTTGTTTAAAGAAAACCAACACACTGTTCTTTACAAGATCAGACTATATACATTTGTGGCTCTTATGAACAGTGTAAAGTAAGAACAGACTCTCCCGAAGACACCGAAGCATTTCACTCAGCAGATTAGGTAGTTCTAGCGGTTTTTGAAGATTGGCTGGTCTCAGGATTGTGCATGACAAAAGGGAAGGCTTGGATCCCTGGGTTTGCCATTGTGCTGTATGGTATCACTCTTGGAGCACCAAGCATCCCTACAGGAACCACAGAGCCTACTGGACTGGTCACGCCTGCCCACTGCTGTGGATAAAGAGACATCGGAGCCATCCCACCATAGGAGCCTGCTGGTACAAGGAAACCAGAAGGGAGCACCATGGAGGCGTTTGGTGCCAGGGCTGCAGGCAGACCAGGGCCTAAAGCAGTAATCACTGGGCATGGGAGCGGTGGCTGGAACTTGTTGGTAACAACAGGGTATTTCATCTGGAATAGGAGGGAGTTGTTGTAGAAATTTGTGCAAAGACTGACTCAAACAATGAAAACAAGACAGTTTATTAAGGCTTTTATACACCAAACCAACAAAAGATAACAAAATGCCTCCTGTTGTGTTCATTTCTATATGTGCAATAATAAACAAACAACTCTACACAAAGACTCCATCCAGCCGTCCATCAGTACATACAGTCTGTAACGGTGCAGGAGGACATCATGTAGCCATTGCAATTATATTCATCCATCCATACTTGCTTCATCTCTTCCAGATCATGGGGGTCACTGGTGCCCATGCTGGGCTGGGCCTACAAGGTGATTTTACCCTGCATTGCACTGCCCGGGCGGGGTTCAAACCCGGTTTTGGCACTTTTGTATTAGCCCTTATGGCCCAGGTCCACCCGATTTCTAAAACCTCAAGAACTGTGGTTCCAAATGGGTCGGGCTGCTCGGTCCCATTTGATGTCAGCTATTGTTGCTCATTGATTGACTCACTGACCGGGGGGGTTACGTCACATAGATGAGATTAACTTTATGTGAATCGTTTGAGGCAACTAACATTTTTTTCACGAGTTTAACTATAAAACAGCAGCAGCAAGCTACCAAACAACAACAAGCTAACAAAAAGCTACTGTTAGCTTAACGTTCTCTGTCAACCCTACTCTCTCGTCTTAAGAGACCTACTGCTGGATGGTCCGGTTCAATATTTGGTGCCTTCCAGTTTGGTGTACTTCATTTTTGTTTTGTTGAAAATAAAAGGAAATAAGATTGTGCTTGTTTAATATTATGATCCTGCCCATATTGAGACAGCTCTCTGCTCAAACTAAACACAACTGGGGCCAGAGCAGAGTAAAGTCGGGCCAACTGGTGTGGGGGGTGGGCCGGGCTGAGTCGAGTTGAGCCTTACAATGCAAAAACGCCTTGCATACGTGCCAGGGTACACTCTGGACAGGTTGCAAGTCCATCACAGAGACAAACAACCCTTTACACTTTCACTCACACCTAGGGGCGATTTAGAGTTGCCACACTAAACTAGCATGCATGTTTTTGGTTTGTGGGAGGAAGCTGAAGTAACCAGAGAAAATCCACACATGCAAGGAGAGAACATGCAACCTCTACCCAGAAAGGTCACCGGCCAGGATTTGATCCAGCAACCTTCTTGCTGAGTGACAACAGCTCTACCAACTGAGCCATCGTGCACAGTTGGCACCATCATAAATAAATCAGTAATCAATATTTTATTAAAAATAGAAAACAAAACAAAAAAAATCAGTTAAACACCTCAATGTTTGTAAAGGGGACATTTTTACTTTGTGTTTTAATATACAACCAAGCTTCTTGAGTATAGAGTAAAAAAAATGAGTTAAACTAAAATGTTTCTTTTCAGTACACTTATTCCCATTTTAATGTTTTGTGCAGCTAAAAACAGTTTACGTCACTGTAACATATGGAGTTTTATTACTGTGCTAAGCTATAAGCTTCTCTTGATAAGAGAAAAATGTTTATTATTATTATTATTATTATTATTATTATTATTATTATATAAACTAGAGGGGAAAAGATGTTGAGCTGAACCAACAGTGTCTCGGACACCAAACAGAGAAAAGGTAGTGTCTCACTGGGCTGACACCAGAATACACTTCTTACAAAGAGAGAGCAGAAAAAAGGCCGTGCTTTAAAATCGGTGGCCACTTAAATTCAGCGATACTGCAGCTGAAAATTTCACTCAATATTGAATCCTGTTTGAGTTCCCAGCTAGTCTCCAACAGATGTAGTCCAGTGAGAGACGAGATTAATAGACATGATTTCACCAACTTCTTAACGTTCTCAGCCTTTGTCACCTTGGTGTATAAAAGCCCCAATAAACCACCTCATCACTTATCCCACTTATTAAATCTAAATACCTCACATGCACCTGCTCCCATCAGGGGTGGTCTGCCTTCAAAGCCTTGCAGGCACCTCTGCTGTTTCATCTGGTTCAGGGAGGGTCGTGTCTGACTGGCCGCTGCGACCGTCTCTTTTGTCCAGTCGTCTACCAGTTTGTGAAGATCCTCCGTGAACGTGCCTCTCTTGTTGTTGCTGTTGTTGGTCTGAACCTGAGCGAGCCTCGCAAACGTCTGGGGAGAGGGTGACGTCGCCGCTGCGGTGATTGGTGGCTGTGTCTGACCGGAGGCCGTCTGTGCTGTGGTGGTGTTAAGAGAGGACCCTGTAAAAAAAAATTAGGTAAATAAAAAAAAAGGTCTTAGAAATCTTCGTACAAGAACTTGGAAGCTATCAAATCAATTGGCTGTGGTATGGCAGAATTTGAGGCAGTTTAGACAAAAATGAACTTATAGCACTGTCACACAAAAGCCAACTTTATGTGAAGCCAGAGTGAATGTGCATGAAAACCACATCAGACATATTTTTGCCAACCTTGTAGCCAAAGGATTACAACACAGAGGACTCCAAAAGAAACTACAAAAAATGAAATGTCTGATTTGCAGGCAGTGAAACTCCAAAATAAAAAAATAAAATAAAAAAATGCCATGCAAAACAAAAAGTGCAACAATCTGTAGTCTTAGTGCCCAGGTCTTAAACATATAGCACCAAATCTCCAAGTGCCAAAAACAAGAACACAAGTGTACATACATACAGAAGTAGTACCAAGGTTGTGAGGAATAGAGTAAGAAATACAGAGAAAAAAGTAAATAAGATAGTTACTACTACTGCGCTCTTTGCCTAGACATAGTCGTTTCAGAGTGGACCCTATAAAAAGGTAAAACAGCACAAGACAGAAACAGTTAGGCCAGGACACACTGCACACCACAAGAATGTGGACAAGCTGCTTCAGAAGCACATTCAGCTATTAAAACAATTGTGGAGAGAAGGAGGAGGAAAGGGGGTTTTATAAAATGACTGGAAGAAAAGAGCCAAAGCATCCCTTTGGGTAATCGTAGAAACACTGGCTACCATTAAGTGTACCTGATAAACATTAATAAAGCACATTATGGCTTAGATTGTGGTGTAATGACATCCAGCTTCTGCTTCTCGTTAGGATGAAGGAGTTTTTGGACGGATGCATAACTATGACAGTATTTTCTGTGTTTATCGGTTGGTAATGTTTTGTATGAATCAGTGGAAGAGGAAATATTAAAGACAAGATCCCTGTCCATGTGAGAAAGCCTGTGAAACAATAGTGTGAAATCTAAACAAAATAAAGCTTCACGAACTAAAAGAGCACACAGACACTAGAGGGAACTTTTCTGAGTCGGCACTAAAGAACATGCAAGTAACTGAGGAGAAGTCAAAAACAAAACAAAACCAACAAAAAAAAAAAACAGTAATATTGACGATACAGCCCTTCATGTGGTGAAGCATGTCTCCATCAGAGCACTGTTTGGCGTCTGCGTCATGCACGTCTTCTCCATCCAAACATGAGGGACAGGGAGAGCAAAGGGCCCTGTCGAGCAGATTTCCTCTGAATACACAGGACTGCAGGCTCAGGCAAAAGTGCCTTTATGTAAGGGATGTTGTACAATAGAAATTAACAGTGGATGGAAATAAACAATAAATTAATAGGGTATAAAGACAGGCATTTTCTCACACACGTACACACACTTGTAAAACAACCCCACTGTCTTTAACTTCTGACCTCAAGCCCATGTTTGGACAGGACTATCAGAGTCCTCAAGCTGAAGTGTGCTGATGACATCTATTTTTTTAAGCCAAAAGCACTGTGTTAAACAACTGAATGAGGAGGAGGTAATGTACCCACAGATTAATGGATATGAATGCAACTACTGTTCTTTGAACTAAAATGATTGCCAGAGGGGAAAAACATGAATACAGCTGCTTATTACGATTTACACGCAGCTTGGCGATTAAGTATCAATCAAATAAATGTTTCATTCTTGATTTGATTCTGACCGCCCAACACTAAATGTCTAAGAGGTAAAATTACAGGTAAAATGCCAGTGATTCAGTGAAGTGTCATTTGAGCTTATTGCCATGACTGAGCTTGTGCTGCAAAATTGTTCTAAAGAAAAAAGTACAATATAAAACTATTAAAGTTGACATCAAGCCGTAGTTCAGTTACCAGGTATGTGTCTGAATGCAAAAAATATACAGTGCGAGTCAAAAGTCTCAGGACACCCTTTTATTTCAGAAGCAAAATTAAATCTCTGAATGTCCCAGCAAGTAATGAGTGAGGGGTCCTATCTTTTAGGCTATGTTTGGAACATGATCGCCATCTTGAAATTTGCCATTTTGGAAGATTTTTCAATCAGATTTGCAATATCTCTTGTGATTCAAAAGCCATCAACACAGAAAGTTGCAACAACTAAAAATGTTGTCTGTGATGTACATCTTATTTGATGTGTTCAATGTGCTGAACACAGACAAACCCGTGTCACTGACCTCTGAACAAGAAATATTGCACAAATGACTGCAGTGATCCATTTCTGAGATAATTCTGGTTTCCTTTGATATGCTACACGACCACCTTCCCATTGAAAAATCCTCCAATATATGAAAGATGGAAGATTTTTCCCAATGGAAAAAACTTGAAAATCTAATATGGAGGCTTTCAAGATGGCAGCCATGTGGCACCCTCATCCATTACTTGCTGGCGTATTCAGATATATGCATTTTTTCTCTTTTGTTTCTAAAATAAAAGGGTGTCCTGAGACTTCTGACTCACCTGCATTTTAAATATAACTAGATGGCACTAACAGTTTTAAAAACCCGTTTCTAAAGGTCTTACGGGATGCAGAACAAACTTAAATGTGATGTGGTGGCATTACACTGTCAAACAAGTCTGAAGGCAATTTAAGACAAGCGTTTGCTTTCAAATTACATTATTTCTATTATTATTATTATTATTATTATTATTATTATTATTAATAATCATTATTTTACGATCTGATTCAAGTAACAGATGAGCCAAAACACGAGTTACTGGCCCACTGAAAAACAAACATTTCCTGGCTGCACAAGTCTTTTGTTATCGTTGTGTGCTTCTTCGGTATTGTACCGGATTTAAAGGGAACCACAATTAGTTTTGGCATTAGTCTTTATTTGATAAACATTTATTTTAACTGTAACATAAAGACTGTAAAAATATGTAGGCTGTTTATCCATCCATCCATCCATCCATCCATCCATTTTCTTCCGCCTATCCGGGGTCGGGTCGCGGGGGCAGCAGCTTCAGAAGGGAGGCCCAGACCT